CTGCTACCCGACCATTGTAACGCTCCACGAGCTACACTCGGGACCATTGACCCCCACACAGTTAAAGAACATATTGGAAATGGGTGGTCTATGTATCAAAGTCACTCTGACTATTGATGCCGAGTCTGTCTTCAAGTCTTTGTCTAGCAAAGATCTGAAGAAGCCCACAGAATGTACTCTGCTTGGGCACATTAGCTGGATCCGCCAGATGATGGAGCGCGGAATCGTTGAAAGCGTTCAATGGTGTGACACGCGGGATATGACTGCCGATGGTCATACCAAAGGTAGTATTGACCGCGCGTTGCTCCTACAAGTAATGGCCGGCCAGCAATCCTTCAAGCACGAGCTGAAGAAACATGCACCGTATAGGGCGGGCAGGTCGTCTCAGGACGGCCCTGCCTCCCGAGCTAGCGGGGAAACCCGCGGGCAGGTGCACTTTAATAGCGAGGAAACTCGCCGGTAGCGAGGCTACTCGCGCGCCCTTTCCTTGTGGGCAGCCGCTGCTGCTTAGCACTGTTTTTTCCGCATAATGTAGAAGTGCGGTGCCTGCTCGTCTCCTCCCCCTTCCGACTTTAAACGGAGAAGATTAAAGGCGAGGTATAAATCGAGCATGTACCGCTGCCGTGCCTGGCTCAAGCCGGGCCCGGCCAAATATGTGATTGTGCCTCACCGAGGCGCGCGACTTGTATCTGAGATCGGAAAATACCTTTTCCATTGACGATGCCCATCCTATCCTTTACTCCAGATCCCATGCTTCGTCTTGCTCTCTTGCTCATGCGATATGAGCCAAAGCCTGGGATATGGGAACGCCTAAGGCGTAATATATACCTAAGCTTACCAGTGCGTTTTCGACTCACGCGTGGGGCAGCGCCCGAGGCGTGGGCACGCGGGGGGCAACGTTTCGGGTGCGGCAAGTTCGCGATGCCCTTTGCCGTCGCCATCGGTCGTCGTCGTCGTCGTCGTCGTCGTCGTCGTCGTCGTCGTCATCAGAATCACAATCTCCATCCTCCTCCTCATCAGCATCAGCATCACCGTCATCATCAGCATCAGCATCGTCATCATCATCCCCCTCATCATCATCATCATCATCAGCATCATCATCATCATCCTCATCATCCTCATCATCCTCATCATCATCATCATCATCATCATCATGTTCATGACCATGGTCATGAACATGATCATGATCTTCGTCATCGGCATCGTGATCTTCACATTCATGATATTTGGCAGCAGCTCATGGGGCAGCTTGGCACGTGTTCAGAATTCCGTCGTTGGATTGCATTGCCGTGCGTTAGCGTTTAGTAGACGATGAACCATCTTATATCTAGCATCGAATTGCGTCTATTCGCGTCAAGTAGCGTCGAGTTAGCGTCGATTAGCGTCGGTCATCGCACTGGCCAGCAAAGTGGCATGGGAGGCTACCGTGAGTTGCCACCGACATGATCATCAACATGTTCTGGTTCATCGCTATTGGTGTCATCATTGAAGTTGCCTTCGGCAAAGTTCTACGCGCGGGCGCTCCCTCGTCATTATCACCAGCACCATCGTCATCAGCATCGCCAGCATCAATGCTGCCTCCGTCATGCTCCTCACTATCACCACCATCACCATCATCGTCGTCGTCGACATTGTATCTCCACATTCTCCGTCGGGATCTTCGTCATAATCACTGTCATCGATGTCGTGATTTGGCCACCACCTCGCGACCTGAAGGACTCGCCTGCTCGGTTGAGTTCTACGCGCTAGATTGAATCATGGCCATATGATTGTATTGGTGGTTGGGTGGGATGTTTGCGCGAGCAGTGAAGTTGACAATCTCCATATTGATAATTTAACGACTTGCATTGCATATCTTGCACCTCACAGGTGGAAACAGGCATATTCCATCACATAACGTTCACCACATACCGTCCACATCATCTTGTTAACCGCGTAGCTTGCACTACATCAGGGGCACCGCGCAGATTGCGCCACATGGCTTGCACATGCAGAGCAGCATGTGATATTCTTGGCCCACGCTTGCACGCATACCAAGGTGCATCTTTGCACGAACACATACATGTATGCAAGCATTCCCCCGCGGCGCTTGCGCAGGGGTTTCGCATCGCGTAGTGCCCGGTTGGTGGTCGCCCATGGGCGCCTCGTTTGCGCCCCGTGTGTTGGGTGGGTGCTCTAGGTGTTCGGTTGGTGCCGTGCCGTCGCCGCCTGAGCGCCTCGCGGGTGCCTCGGGGGCCGGGTCCACCACGAAGTTCGCACCACATCTCTTGCACCACAAGGTTTTCATGCCACAGCTTCCGTCACACAGCTTGTCACTCAGACATATATGCATACATGCATTCATAGATGCATGCATCCATACATACACACATATCGATGTATACACATATAACTACACAGCAACACATACATGCATAGGAATGTATATATGTATATAGTATGCCTCAGCTTGCAGCATGCAGCCTTCAACACAGAGCTCGCACCACATGGCTCGCTCAACACAGCTTCCATATCATAGCTTTCACCACATGGCTTGCAACACACGCAGCGCACCGTATACAGAACGCATGGCACAGCTTGTAACCTTCTAGATTCATATCTATGATACGATGGCCTATTGCTTAGGGGTCCTCGCGGGTTAGCATGTACATGTATGTGCCAACACGTGATATAGACCTGTACACACTACAAGAATTCTTCATAACCGTATACCTTGTCTAAACAGTGCTTGCACTCAGTGTTTCTTACTTGTGGTTCTAATGGGTTGGATGGTTCCAGCGAGGTTTCGCTAAGTTGCCGCCCGCTGCCACCTCGTTGCAGCCTCGTGCGCTCGTGCGCTCGGGTGGTTCAGCGAGGTGCCGCCACTTTGTTGCTCGTTGTCACCTCGTTGCCGCGTCGTTGCCGCTCGTGCGCTGGGGGGGCCTGGCCAGATTCGCAACGTTTTGCGCCCGTGCCGCCTGGTTGCTGCAGCGTGCGCTGGGTGGGCCCGCCGAGGTTTCGCCACGCTGCCGCCTCGTTGCCACCTCGCTGCCGCCTCGGGCGCTGGGTGGGTCGGCCGAGATTTCGCCCACGGTGCCGCCTCGTTGCCGCGTCGTTGCGGCCTGCTTGCCGCCTCGTGCGCTTGGTGGGTCGTGCGAGGTTTCCTCCACGTTGCCGGTTGCTTGCCGCCTCGTGTGCTGCGTGGGTCTGGCGAGGTTTCGCAGCGTTGCCGCCCGCTGCCGCCTCGTTGCCGCCCCGTGCGCCGGATGAGTCCAGCGAGGTTCCGCCACGTTGCCGCCCATTGCCGATTCGTTGCCGCCTCGTGCGGTGGATGAGTTTGGCGAGGTGACGCCACGTTGCCTCAGTGCCGCCTCGTTGCCGCCCGTTGTCGTTTCGTTGCCGCCTCTAACCTGGACCGCAGATTCTGCACATCGTATTCTGCGCCACCTGTCTTGCACGCCGTGGCTCACACATACACCGTGCTCACTTGCTGCTCGGGTCCCACGCTCGCTTACATGCGTAGAACTCCCTCTGCCGACCTGTTCGCCCGCACATATTTCCCAGGTTCTCTCTTTCCATCTCTCTCTGCCTCTCTCTCTCTCTCTCTCTCTGGCCCTCCTTGCCCATCCCCGTCGCGGGGACTGGTGCCCCGGCGGGCTGCCCCGGGGTCAGAGCCGAGAGGCCGCCTCCACCGCCCTGCCGTGGGCGAGAGCCTCCCCGCCCCGCGTGCCTCTCCCCCCGCCGCTGCCCCTTCCCCCCATTCCCTGCCATGGTGCTCGTCTTCGGCAAGTGTAAGTCCGACGACACGGTCGGGGACCTGGCACCTCAGGTGGTGACCAGGTCCCCGCGGGCGCGGCCGCGCTGCGGCCGCGCAGTCTCGCGAGGAAATTTCCCCTCGGGGCTGTCCTGCCTAATTACCTGCCTCTCTCACACGCAGTGGCGAAGCGTCCTGGCTTCCGCAGAAAGCCCACCAAAGAGTGACCCAAGAACCCTTTAGAACATTTCTGGTTGAGGCTGCCTTGTATGAGTACATCGGGTCTATGTTCTAAGAACACTGTATTGTTTCTAAAACAATGTTGGCTTCTAAGAACATGTCGTGTAAGGCGCATAGGAATGCCGGGGCGGTCGGTCTCTCCTCAATTTCTGCTCTCTCCTCCTCTATACCTGTCGTCCTCGTACGCTTCGTTTCGTTAGCTCGTCGTGTCGTCGTCGTGTGGTCGCGTCGTTGCCGTCGTCGCCCTCGCCCCTTCGTTGTCGGTGGCTGCCTCCGTTTCTTTTCCTACCCAGAGCTCGTTGCCTTGCGCGGGCTCGCGCAAGGCCCACCAGGAAATTCGGGCACATCCTTTCTACAGGAGGCATGTTCAAGAAGAGTTACAACATAGCGGGGACGATGATTTTCGATCATCCGCGCTCTTAAACTACTTAAGCATTATTCCCAAACTGCCTGACGCAGCCTGGAATGTTCGAGAAGACCCTGATGATGGTGGTGATGATGATGCTCCAGTGCGCTCGGCTGCGCGAGCCGATGCCGGAGGAGGTATACGAGTTCGGGCGGCCCTCGCCTGCACCTCTCAGAATAGTCTCGCTTTGCGAAGCGTGCTCGAGCTTGAAAAGTTGCCATGGGAACGCCCCCCGTTGCAGATGGAAACTGGAAAAAGTATCTGGGGCCAGCCATTCCACTCTTTCCAGCCCCGACCAGTTGCCCATTTTTTGTTCCAGCCTTGGCGACAGCATCCCTACTGCTTTTCGCGCTCGCTGCACCCACTGCCAGTTTTTTTTTCAGCCCTGCCCACGTCCACTTTCGGATATTTTCCAACTTCTACTTTCTCCAGCTTCCCTGTACAAATGTGTCGCCACCTCGAGGAATTTGGAAAGTTGCTGCCTCCATCCAGCCCCAACCATCCCTGCGGAGGTGCACGCCTGAGGTGATGCAGGCATCCGTGACTCCACAGCCTGCCTCCCCGTGCCCCTGCCCTCGCTGAGCATCTGTCGGTCCCCCCCCGCCCCTCGCTGCCCAGAAGGTGGCCCGGCCCGGGAGGCGACGCGGTGTGGCTGGACGACGCCTTCGGCCTGGAGGCCCGCGCCGAGCCTTCTCCCTTTTGGACGGGCCCAGCCATACGATTCTGCAGCAGCGTGGAGGCCCAAACTAGCCGATCGGAGGGGGGGCAAGTGTCATCAACGCCACCGCCAAATTGAGCAGTGCGAGTGCAAAGCATGGTTCTCGCAGGCGTTCGACTCTTCCCTTGCCAACTGCAGTTGCCAAGCTGCGGGTCACCAATTCCAGTATTGGGAAGGCCTTACGGCTGGTGCCGCCGACCTTGAAGGGGGACGATGACGACGACGGCGGCGGAGACGACAACGGTGCTGACGCTCTGGGAGCCTACCAGGGGATTTCTTGGAAAGCGCCGTGGCCACTTGAAGCCCCCCTGGAGCAGATTTGAGGCCTCTTGCAAGCATGTCGGACTATACGCAGCACTCCGCAACAGCGGGTCCAGGAGGAGGAGGGTGCCTCAATGGGGGGTGTCCGGGAGGAGGAGGGGATGATGGTTCCCTTGTCCACAAGCGGGTGGGGTCCTGAGTCCCTCCTGTCGCCACAATAAAGATCACCAGCAATTCCACGACTTCGCATTCAGGGCATTGTGAGGCGGCGCCGTCACATAATCTTAGTTTGCGGCAAGAAAGCTCATGATGGGACGTGCGACGATCGAAAAACACACAAACGTAGGAGGAGGAGGAGGAGGAGGAGGAGGAGGAGGGAGGAGGAGGAGGAGGAGGAGGAGGAGGGAGGAGGGCGAGGCGAGGGCGAGGGCGAGGGCGAGGGCGAGGGGAGGGGGGGGGGGGAGGAGGAGGAGGAGGAGGAGGAGGAGGAGGAGGGGGGGGGGGGGGAGGAGGAGTAGGAAGGAGGAGGAGGAGGAGGAGGAGGAGGAGGAGGAGGAGGAGGAGGAGGAGGAGGAGGAGGAGGAGGAGGAGGAGGAGGAGGAGGAGGAGGAGGAACATGGGCGCCCTGCGGGCGCTCGTGCGCCGGCTGCGTGCCGGGAGCCTTCGACGGGTGTCGCCCCCGTGGGCGTCCCGTGCGCCACCGCCGGGCGTGCCGGGGCTGCGCCCGGTGGCCGCCCGTGGGCCTGGCGCCCACGCCACGCGGATGCCTCGCGGCCGCCTCGTGCGCTGGCACGGGTACGTTTCAGCGCACAGTGTTTAAGACATGTTTTAGTCATGTGTAAAGCATGTTTAAGGCATGTTTAAGGCATGTTTCAGACATCTGGAAATGACTTGGCAACATGCTTCCTCTCCATTGATCGTCCTCCACAGCTAGGGAAACAAAAAGAGACATAAACAAAAACCTCAGAGTTTTTATGTTTATGCCTCTTTTTGTTCCCCTAGTTGTGGAGGACGATCAATGGAGAGGAAGCATGTTGCCAAGTCATTTCCAGATGTCTAAACCATGACGTAGACATGCTTTCAACATGTAAGAACATTGTTGAAACATGTTTAGAAATGTGTTCTGACATTTTAAACACATTGTTAATTTAATGGTAGGACTGTTCTGGTGTCCACTGTCGCGGCATCAACAAGCATAGCGCCGGACAATTAGCCTATCGGTTGCCCCGATTGCCCCGATTGGCCCAATTTGCCTTACCGGCTGGGGCTAGGACGACGACAATTCCGTTCCCGAGCGTTCTGGAGCGTTCTCAGGGCGTTCCGGATCGCTCTGAGAAGGCCGCGTCGCCCGAAACATCCTCCAGAGCCGTCGGATCTCAGAGATTCTCGATTCAATTATCCTCGCCCAATTTTATCCTCGCTCTGGCTTCCCAGACCCCCGACGCTGTGATTATTTCACAGCGTCGACCTTCAGAGGTCCGAAAGAGCGTGTTCTACCGCTGCTGGCGGAAAACCGGGGTGGGGTCACCCGGTTCGAACCCCTCCCCCCCCCTCCTCCAGGAAACCGGGGGGGGTCACCACCCGTTCGAACCCCTCCCCCCCCCCAGTCCATCATGAAAAGGGGGAGGGGTCACTACCGGTTCGAATCCCCCCCCCCTCGAAAACCGGGGGGGTCACTACCGGTTCGACCCCCCCCCCCCCCTCCCTCGAAAACCCAGGGGGGGGCGGACAGTGGTGGGGACGGTTGTGGTGGTAGTGGTGGCTAGGGGACAGCGGGACAGTGGTGGGGACAGTGGGACAGTGGTGGGGACGGTACAGTGGTGGGGACAGTGGTGAGGACAATGGTGGGAACAGTGGGGACAGTGGTGGGGACGGTGGTGGTGGGGACAGTGGTGTGGGGACAGTGGGAATGTGGTGGAAACAGTGGGACAGTGAAGGGTACAGTGGTGGTGGGGACAGTGGTGAAGGCGGTGGCGAGGACGGCGGTGGGACAATGGGACAGAGGTACAGTGGGGACAGTGGTGGGAACAGTGGGGACAGTGGTGGGAACAGTGGAACAGCTCAGTGGGACAGCAGAGAAGTCAGTGGGACAGTGGGGACAGTGGGGATAGTCGGGCAGTGGTTGGGGCCGTGGAGAAAGTGGGGAGAGTGGAACCGTGGTGGGAACAGCGGCGGGGGACAGTGGGGACAGTGCGACAGTGGTGGGGGCACTGGTGGGGACAGTAGGGACGGTGGTGGAACCAGTGGGGACAGTGGTGGTGAGGACAGTGGTGCTGGGAACAACAGTGGGGGATGTGGTGCGGACGGTGGTAGGGACCGGGAGTCGTTTGCTGGCGGTGAGGGGGGGGTGGGGAGGGGTTCGAACCGGTAGTGACCCCCCCCCCTCCGGTTTTCGAGGGGGGGGGGGAGGTTCGAACCGGTAGTGACACCCCCCGGCTTTCGAGGGGGAGGGGGGGTGGAGGGGTTAGGGGAGGGGGGGGGTTTTGCCGGGGGAGGGGAGGGGGGGGGGGGGTTCAGGGGGGGGGGGGGGGGGGGGGATTTTCGGAGGAGGGGGGGAGAACCCCGGGCTCCGGAGGAAGAGGGGGGGAATTTTCCACAGTAGAGCGGCGGTGGATCACGCTCTCTCAGAGGTCCCGACCCCTTCCCTGGGACTGGTTTGTCATCCCGAATCGCTTTTCGACGGCCCCACGTGGCCTGGTATGGGGCCCCGGAAGCCGAAAATAGCAAAACTGAAAATCCCATCGTTCTTTTTCGTCCACCGCGCGAGGGGGTCAAGATTCGTCTTCGAGCCGCCCTGTTGGATCGCGCGGTGGTTGCGAAGGGGATGGGGGGGTTAGAAGTGTATGATAAAGTGGGTTTTACCTTGCCGACCCAACTTATCAGTCATTTACAGGTGCCATGTGCCGCTTAGGATGATGAGGTAACTCCGCTAAGTGTGCTTCGCCAACTTAGTCCAGATCTGTGCGCCCTTGACCAACGTAGGGCACGTGCAACCCACTTCTGAGCCGGGCTAGGCTGGAAAGAACTCACCTTAGCAGCCAAGCGTGTCCCCATAGAGGCGGCCCGGATTAGTAGGTCGACCCTGCCAGCTCAAGGGTACCCTTGTCTCCTGTGCCTCGCGACGCGTGCCTTCTTACACTCGTACGGCGATGTGGCCCTCGGAAGGATATTGTGTCCTCTCGCGTGTCTTGTCCAATCAAGGCCGACTGTATCTTCTCAACACCCCCCGCGGCGCTCCAAGTGGCATCCCGTCCGTACCAGTTGCCCTCTGCAGAAGGAACAGGACGCCACAAACAACAGTTTTTTGCGCTCCATGCGGGTCTCTTGGAGCTGCGCTGGACCCCCCTCCCCCCTCCCTGGCGCGCGGAGCGCGCCAGGGGCGGCGCTGGAGGCTCCGCGGGGGGGGGGGGGGGGCCGGCGCGGATCCAAGAAGTCCGCGTGGAGCACAAGTTTATGTTGATGGCCATGTCTATACCTGTTCCTTCTTTGAATCGTACCTGTCCTCTCAGCACCCCCGCGGCGATCCAAGCAGGGCCCCTACCTGTGGGACTACTGCCCCGGCGCCGGCGCCGCCCCGTGGCCCGCGGGCGCGACGGGCCCGGAGGCGGGGCCCTTCTTCACCACCCACCAAACCACCCCAACCCAACCCGAAGGCTCGAATTTACAGTCGATTTCTAGTGGGGGGGGGTCGGGAAACATCGAAAAAACACACGTGGAACCCTTACCCCCCCCAACCCGAAATTCGGGTCTTCGGGTTGGGTTGGGGTGGTCTGGTAGGCAGTCACTTCTCTTTCTCTCTCTCTCTCTCTCTTTCCGCGGGGCGCGGGCCGCACACGGGGAGGGCGCGGTTGCGGAGGCTTGCAGCGGCTGGAGAGGACGTCGGTGGGCTTGCTTCCATCGCCACCACCATCAGCAGGAGGGGGGAGGGGGGCCCTCCTCCTCTTCCTCCTCTCCCTCTTCCTCCTCCTCCTCCTCCATTTCCTCCCCCCTCAAACTTCAGTTGGTGGTGCTGGTGGAAAACAGGCCCGTCAACGTGGCGGTCGAGGCTGGCGGAGGCGAGTCCAGCGTTTGGCGACGAAGGCCTTCCATCGAAGAAGCGAGGGCCTTCCATCGATGAGAAGCATAGAGAAGCATCGAGGGCCCTCCATCGAAGAAGGAAAACGGGGCGAATTGAAGAGGGCATTCCATCGGAGAAGAAGAAGAAGAAAAAGAAGAAGAAGAAGCGTTTGGCGACGACGGCCTTCCATCGAGAAAGACATAACGCCATACACATGTGATTGTGGCGCCTCGCGCGGGCCTCGCAGGGCGCGGACGGAGGCTGGATGCGGCTGAAGCAGACGTAGCGGTCGAGGCTGGCGTTAAGTCGAGCATGTCTTTCTACATGAGGAATATGCAACAATAATTGAACACATGAAATCGTGACGATGTTCCACTTATTGTTTTCTCATGTTTAAATATGTATTTGACTCTGGCTTAAGTTGTCTTCCAAAACCCGCCTGTAGGAGGACATGCCTGACCTAAGGCTGGCGGAGGTCAATCCAGCGGTGGCGACGAGGGCCTTCCAAGAGGCGCACGCAGGCGAACACGAGGTAAGGGTATCGAGGAAGAAAACACGCCATAAACGTAAACTTTGAGCGCTCCGCTTGGATTTCCTTGACCAGCGTCGCCTCTGGCGCGCTCCGCGCCGCCTCCGGCGCAGATCCAAGAAATCGGTGTATGCTTTTTTGTTATTGTTGTTATCTTCTATTCCAGGTGGCTCACAAAGGCGAATACGAGGGAAGGGTAGCAGTAGGGATGCGTTGTCCTTCCCTGCTCTGGAAGCCTCCCGACCGCTGCCGCCCCTCCCCACCCACCCCCGCCCCCTCCAAAATGAACACATCCGCCGCACGTCTCCCTCTCCACCACCTCTTCCCCTCCTCTCTTGCGGCGCTCCCGCATCTGCTCCTCCTCCCCCCCCTCGTCTCAGGAGGGAGAGACACACCGACGTGAACAGTCGTTGATGGCCCAGAAAGTTCAAGGCACACGGGAGAAGTGGCGGGGGAAGGCAGGCGTCCAGAACAGGCTCCGATGTCCCGGGACTCGTGCCTACTTTTGTGTGCGTGCCCCTTGGCCCCTTTCACGCAGCGACGCCCGCGGCCCTCGCACCGGCAGATCCGCCGCTTCTTCGCTAGGGGAACAAAAAGTGACATAAACATAAACATAAACATAACCATACATAACTTTTTAGGGGAACAAAAAACCTGGCATCGCTCGGACGTGTGTATTTTTTCCTCGGCGAGGACCCTTGAGGAACACCCTGGATCATCAAGCGAATAAAAACACGCACGAAACCGAAAAGTGCACGGGAAATGGACGTCTGAGCGACGGCAAGAAAAGTGGCACAAACATAAAAACTCTGAGGTCCGCGCGGATTTCTCGGATCCACGCTGGACCAATCTGGCGGCGCCTCCGGCGCCGCCCCTGGCGCGCTCCGCGCGCCAGGGAGGGGGGTCCAGCGCCGATCCGAGAAATCCGCGCGGACCTCCGAGTTGTTATGGTCATGCCACTTTTTGTTCCCCTACCTTCGCCATGCATGGGGGCAGCGGCTCCCGAGGGAAGCGGGCCCCGAGGTCCTTCACCAGTTTTCCCAACCATCCTGTGGTGTTGGGTCCTCGTTTTGAAGAGACGGTAGCCCGCGTCTCCTCCTCTCCTCCTCCTCCCCCTCCTCCCTCCTCCATTTCGGCACACCCCTCACACGTTTCGTGGCCCCATAGGGAGCTCCGCCGAAGGTCCCCGTGGGTGTGCCCGCATGCGTCCCGCACACCCATTTCGTCACACCCCTCACACGTTTCGTGGCCCCATAGGGAGCCCGACCGAAGGTCCCAGTGGGTGTGCCCGCATGCGTCCCGCACACCCATTTCGGCACACCCCTCACACGTTTCGTGGCCCCGTAGGGAGCTCCACCGAAGGTCCCAGTTGGTGTGCCCGCATGCGTCCCGCACACCCATTTCGGCACACCCTTCGCACTCTTCGTGGCTCCATAGGGAGCTCCACCGAAGGTCCCAGTGGATGTGCCCGCATGCGCCCCGCACACCAATTTCGGCACACCTCTCACACGTTTCGTGGCCCCGTAGGGAGCTCCACCGAAGGTCCCAGTAGGTGTGCCCGCTTGCGTCTCGCACACCCATTGTGGCACACCTCTCACACGTTTCGTGGCCCCATACGGAGCTCCACCGAAGGTCCGAGTGGGTGTGCCCGCATTCGTCCCGCACACCCATTTCGGCACACCCTTCACGCGCTTCGTGCCCCAATAGGGAGCTTCACCGAAGGTCCCCGTGACGCAGTTCGCACGCGTCTCCCCAACCCAGTACACCTCCGTCGGAGGCCGTCGGAGTTCCGCGCCTCGCTCGCCCGTCGTCGCTCTGCCCAGCGGCAAGAGCCTTGCCCGCTATCAGCCAGCCAGCTAGCTCTCTTTGCTGCGCGCAGCGGGCGACCCGCGCGCGTCGCTGGAACCCCTCCGGGGCGACCTGCGAGCGTCGCTGGGACTCCGCGCTGCGCTGCGCCCGCAGCCTTGGATTTTCGAGTGCGCGGGCAAAGAGGGAGTAACAGGAGGGGAGGAAGCGGGCGCGATCCTCGCGGTGGCGTCGCCGCGCGAGGGCGATGCCGTCGGGGAGTCCCGGGGAAACTCCTTGCGGCGGCCACGCCCAGCGTCACGAGTTTTCAGAGGCAGCCGTTCTCAAACTAGTGACATTCATATACAAACGCACCATGCTTTGTCATACTCGCATTCATGCACGTAGACTCGCTCGCACGCAGATCCATTTACAGTCAGACGCACTCGCGCTCATATTCACCCGCGCCCAGTCTCCCTACGTACTCAGATCAATCGTTTTCGTTCGCGTTGTGTACCACGCCACTCATGTCGGCACACCCCTAGCACGGTTCGTTGCCTCATAGGGATCACCACCGAAAAAGGGAATCACAATTGCGGTACTCACACCTGCATATGGTTGGGTCCTTCGTCAGGCTCATTTCGGGCCCTCGCGGCTCTCCACGGGTCCGGGGCTGTCAGAGAACGGTCAGGAGGAGTACAGTCAAAAACCCTAAGAAGGACGCGCCCCAAACATCCCAACTTCGGCTTCCAAGGGTCTTGCGTCCTTACCGCGCGTCCTTATTCGGGGTTTTGAACTGTAGCGATGCCGCGGCCCTCGCACCGGCAGAACCGCCGCCCCACTCGCCGTGCATGGGGACAGCGGTTCCCGAGGGAAACGGGCCCCGAGGTTTTTCGCCGTTTTCGGGCCGTCGCGGCTCTCCACGGGTCCCGGGGCAGTCCGAGAACGATCACGAAGGGGCCCCAGGACACACAAACAAAAACAATACACACAAATAAACATATCCCCCGTATGTTCCCATATTTTCTAGGTTTTCGTCTTCCCCCCCACTTCCCATGCTTTCCAACATTTCCCTGGGAATCGACGGCTAATTGTGTCTGTGTGTTTCTTTCCCCCCTGACAGGAGGAGTAATTGGTCCTGGGGGAAGGCCCCGGGGTTCAGGACCCGTGTCCCACATGATGCAGCGATGTCGTTGCCCCAGCACTTTGCCTATTGTTGCGTTTTGGGGGGCCTCCTGGGAGGCCCTCGTCGCCACCGCTGGATTCGCCTCGAGATGCTGGTCAGGGCTTACCCCAGGAGGGGCCCGGGGAGTAGCGGTATTGGTACTGCTTGGTTTCTCCAAGTGGTTTGCAACACGATTCGGAATGGTCGGGGAGGGTCGGGAGTTCTGGGGAAGGGCCGGGAGTTCTGGAGGCCCGCGCATCGACAACATCAAGACGTCCAATGTCTGGGGCAGTACTGGCACGACCATCCTCGCTGCAAGGATCAAGGATCGAGCAGTACTGGGAATGCCCCGCAACGTGGTGTGGGTAGCTTCCCTCTTCCTTCGCTCGTCTCCGCTTTCTCTTTGTCCTCCCTCTGGCCTGGGTGGTCGAGCGTGGACACCACGTCTCGGCGGCGAGCTCGGGGGGGAGGTGAGAAGGGGCGGGCCTTCTCAGAAGGCTCGGAAGTCCCCCAGCCTCCCGAGAGGTTTTCAAGGCCTCCCCCGAGGACGCAAAAGGCTTCTGCGAAGGCGCGAGGGCTTCCGAGAAGCCCCGCCGCCTTCTGAGAAGGCTTTCTCCTGACTTCCCCCCCCCTCGCTCGCCGCGGAACGTTGCGTGACCCTCTACAGGAGGAACATCCACAAATAGTCAAAGCATAGCCTGGGTGCCATGTTTGGACTATTTTCGAGCATGTTTTGAATATTGGCTGGGGTATTTCTAATTTTTCGTCAAAAATCCGCCTTCAGGGGAACAGGCCCGACCCAGGTCTACAGTCCACACGCCGCAGGAAACACCAGTTCTCAAAGGAGGAAAAGCTGCCCATACCGCTACCCCTCGCGCGCTTTTCCTTTCTTTCCCAATCGTCCTGTGGTGTTAGGGTCCTCGTTTTGAAGAGACAGCGCCCCGCGTCCCATCCTCTCCTCTCCTCCTCCCCCTCCTCACTCCTCCTCCCTCCTCCTCCCCCTCCTCCTCCTCCTCGTCCTCCTCCTCCTCCTCCTCCTCGCTTCGGCACACCCCTAACGCTTGTTCGTGGACCCGTAAGGGTCTCCACCGAGGGCCCCAGTGGCGACGTTCCCATGCGTCTCCGCCGCACGTTTTGGCACGCCCCTCGAACGGTTTGTGACCCCGCATGCAGCTCGCCCCAGTGGCGCCATTCCCGTGCGGCCGCGCCACCCATGTCGGCTCCTCCTCCTCCTCCTCCTCCTCCTCCTCCTCCTCCTCCTCTCCTCCCTCCTCCTCCTCCTCTTCCTCCTCCTCCTCCTCCTCCTCCTCCTCCTCCTCCTCCTCCTCCTCCTGTTCGTGGCCCCATAGGGAGCGCCGCCCGAGGCCCCAGCAGCGGCGACGTTCCCACGCGTCCCCGCCACCCATGTCGGCACACCCCTCAAATGGTTCGTGGCCCCATAGGGAGCTCCACCGGAGGCTCCAGAGGCGACGTTCCCATACGTCCCCGCCCATTCTGGCACACCCCTCACACGTTTCGTGGCCCCATAGGGAGCTCCACCTAAGGCCCCAGTGGCGACGTTCCCATGCGTTCCCGCCGCCGATTTCGGCACACCCCTCACACGTTTCGTGGCCCCATAGGGAGTTCCATTTACGGCTCCAGTGGCGACGTTCCCATGCGTCCCCGCCACCCACGTTCGGCACGCCCCCCACACGGTTTGGGAGCACCACCGAAGACGATATCCACAACTGCGGTATTCACATCTGCGAATGGTTGGGTCCTTCGCCAGGCTAATTTGAAGCCGTATGGGAGTCCCTCGTCGCCAGCGCTGGATTCCGTTCGAACTCCTGGTCAGAACGCGCCCCGGGAGAGGTCCGGGGAGTACGGGGGACATCCATGCCAATAGACCTTCTGCTTGCCTCCAGGGTGCCCTGGGTTTCTTGCGTGTTGATGGTCTTGCTATGCAAGGCTTGAGGTTCCCAAACCCAAAAACAATGGACGTCGTGACGTCTTGGGGTCTCAGGGTTGGGTTTCTTGTGCAAGGTTCTTGCAGTCGAGCTCCTCCTGTATGGTAGCACGACAGCTGTAGCTTCGCTCCTCCCTGATCCCTGCCCGTCCTCCTGCTTGGTGCGACTGCAGTACGGGGCGAACAGCCTGGGGGACTTACACACGGTCAAGCGTGGTAGTATGATTGCACTTCGTCAAGCCGATGCAGCAGAAGCGGCGCCATCACCAGCGGGTCTCTTGGGTGGACCACGATGTTTCTCAAAGCTGGAGATCAGGGATGTTTCGCGCGGGGCGCCGCAAAGTAGGGGGACCACACCATCAGCAGGACCGTCCCCAGCGCCTCGCGATGGCGGTTGTGGCGTTGCCTTTCCTTGTTGCCAGTCGAGGCTGCCCTTGCGTCCTTGTCTCCCTCCGCCCAGTCGGGGAACCTCTTCGTGGCCGACGCTTTCCGTGGCCAAAAACGCCGCGCCGTTCTTCATTTTGGCTTTCTTCTGGCTGCACGGTGAGTGTATGCTGTCTTCCTGCTCCCCCTCCCTGGGGCCACCCGCGGAGGTGCTGGAGGAGTCTAGCACGGAGAGGGAGTCATCTTCGCCGCCGAATCCACGGAGATCATTGGCGGGGGGCCAGGGATCAGGCGTGGGCCGAGGAATGATAATGGATGATGCGGAGGGGGGAGGAGGAGGGTCGATGAGGGGGGGTGAAGCAGAGACAGTAGTTCATAATGAATGAGCGAGGAGGAGGAGGAATAGGAGAGTGAGGAGAGTGTGAGGGGGGGTAGATGGAGCAGAGAGAAGCCGAAGGATACTCGAAGGAGCGGGGTGGAACAAGAGAGAGGGGAGGCGGAGTAGTAGTAGGATGAGGAGGAGAAGGAGGAGCAGGAACAGGGGGAGGAGGAAGAGGAGCAGGGGGACGGGCAGGAGTGATGTGGACAGGGAGAAGAGGTGACGGAGTGAGGATAGGAAGGAGTGGTGAGGAGCAGCAGTTGCCGCCCCAGCCCGTGGGTGCGCGACGGCAGGAGTCCAACCAGGAGGATTTGCGATACGATAGGGTCTGTCAGGGAGAGGCTGCAGACTGACAAAGACGGCGCAATTGTACACGCCGACGCACCTCACGAAGAAGCTCCTGGCGTGAGGGAGGTAGTTGCCGCTTTTGAAGACTGCGCTGCAGCCACAGCCCCCGTTCCTCCTTCGCCTCCGCATCTGCCTGTTCTCGTGCCCTCCTGCGCAGCTTCCTTGGTCAGGTTGTGGAGGAGCTGGAGGAGGCGATAGGCGATGTGGGAGCCCGTTTGTGCCGTCGCAGGGGGCAATGAGACGAAAATCGCGACGCACCTGGAGCGACATCCATTAGGTGAAAGTTATCGATTGCGTAGGCGCATTTGGCATTGCTTGGCGTTGCTTGGCACTCTTTGGCGTTGCTTGCTTGGCGTGGCTTGGCATTGGTAGGCGTGGCTTGGCATTGATTTGCATTGCTTTGCGATGCTTGGCATTGCTTGGAAACAAGACCAAGCAACCCGGGGAATGCAGCGATGAAGCAAGACCAAGCAACCTGAGGGATGCAGTAAAGGATCAACGACCAGGCAACCCCTTTTTCTGAGCCTCCTGGGAAACCCTCGTCGCCACCGCTGCATTTGCTTCGAAATCCTGGTCAGAACGCATCCCGGGAGAGGTCTGGGGAACAGTGGTATCGGTACGGTTTGGTTCCCCCAAGGGGGCCGCGGAGGAGCTGGTGGGAGGAGGTCAGGGGAACAAAAAGTGACATAACCATAAAATCTCGGAGGTCCGTGCGGATTTCTCGGATCGGCGCTGGACCCCCCTCCCTGGCGCGCGGAGCGCGCCAGGGGCGGCGCCGGAGGCGCCGCCGGGGGGCCCCGGCGCCGATCCGAGAAATCCGCGCGGACCTCCGAGTTTTTATGTTTATGTTACTTTGGCCGAGCAACGACATATGTACATGTACGCCCTCCGCGGTCTTGCCGGCACGAATGTCCGCGTTGACACGCGCTCCCGGGGAAACTAACCGCGTACGTGTACATCTGTTCTTGGCATCAGGTACTTGTTGTTCCCCTAGGAGAGGCGCAGGCGGCTCGGCAGGAGCAGGAGGGGTCTGGCAGGACGACCGGCCGTCCTCCTCGCGAGCCGCTCTCTCGGACCCTGCCGCCCCCCGGCGCCCCGCCGCGGAGGAACTACAAGACGGCGCCCTGCTGGCACTTCGGCCGCGGCAGGTGCCGCCCCTCCCCCTGATGGGCCCCTCCCCTCCTTGGATCGTCGCGGTGGTTGCTAAGGGGATGCGGGGGTTAGAAGTGGATGCTAAAGTGGAGTTTACCTAGCCTAACCCAACTTACAAGTGGGTTACAAGTGCCCGATGTGGCTTAGGATGATGAGGCAATTCTGCGAAGTGTGCTCCGCCCTCTTAGCGCAGATCTGTGCGCCCTTACGCCACACAGGGCACGTGCAACCCACTTCTAAGCTGGGTCAGGCTGGATAGAACCCACCTTAACATCCACATGTATCCCCCTATCCTTTTAGCACCCCCCCGCGGCGATCCAAGTCGGCGGCGAGGGAGGGGGGAGATTTTGAAGGAGAAGGCCCTCTCAGAAGGCTGCGGAACTTCTCAGAGAGGGGAACAAAAAGTTGCACAAACATAATTAAAAACTCGGAGGTCCGCGCGGATTTCTCGGATCGGCGCCGGGGCCCCCCGGCGCCGCCTCCGGCGCCGGCGCCGCCCCTGGCGCGCTCCGCGCGCCAGGGAGGGGGGTCCAGCGCCGATCCGAGAAATCCGCGAGGACCTCCGAGTTTCTATGTTTATGTCACCTTTTGTTCCCCTAGAGAAGGCCCTCTCAGAAGGCTGCGGGACTTCTCAGAAGCCCTCGCGCCTCCTGAGAAGCTTTTGTCTGTCTTCGGGGAGGGCCGAGGAGACTCCTCGAGAGGCAGGGGGGCCTCCGGACCTCCTGAGGAGGCCTTCTCCTCCTCACCTCCCCCCCCCTCGCTCGCCGCCGATCCTCCGGGGAGCGCGGCAGAGTCCGGGCCGCCGCCCATCGGGGCCGCTCGCGCAGGTCTGCCCTCCCGCCCGCTCCTCCCCCCCCTCTGGCACTCCGGCCTCGCTATAGGCTTCTCTTTTCCTCCCGCGCTCCCCTGCAGCGCACGAGTGCGCCGGCCCATGGACCGCCAGGCCGCTCGCCGGGCATGCGGACAAGGCCGGTGTCCATATCCGTTCGATGTCTGTTCATGGGAGCCTTGGGCGGCGACATTGAAGTCAGCTTTTCCTGCATGTTGACAGCGTCGGGACTGCATTTGGCCCATCCTCCTGCTCCCCCTCTCCCCTCCAGTTCCCCCTCCCCCTCCTCGTTCTCCTAGCCCCCACGAATCCAATCCAAGTCTGGTCCAAATCCGGTCCAATTTTGTTCCAAATCAGGCCCAAATCAGGCCCAAATTGGACAGTGCCGGGGGCCACGCAGGCTCCCATGGAACGGACACCAAATATCCGCTGCAGTTTGGAGTTTTTCGAGCAGTGGCGAAGCGTCCTGGCTCGCCTGTAGCCCCACAAAGCGATGTTCCAAGGACCTTTTTGCGGTTTCCTGGAACTGTCTTGTTTTGACACATCGGGGTTACGGTTTGAGAACATTGCTTGTGTTCTTGAACATCTTGGGGCTCTAAGAACACGTCGTGGTAGGACTATAGGATTGCCAGGACGGTCGGTCCCTGCTCAAATATACGCTGCAGCTCGGAGTCTGGGGCTCCCTGCCCCAGAACCCTGAGCGGCGGCGACGAGCGAGGGGGGGAAGTGAGAAGGAGACGGCCTCCTCAGAATGCCCGGAGGTGCTTTCTGAGAAGGCGTGTAAGTCTTCCTCGAAGTCACAGAGAAACCCTCCTTCGCTCGCCGCCGACCCGAGGCGCACTGGATGTGGGGAAGGATCTGGTCCCTGTAGAGGCTCGATGTTGGTTCACGTCCGGTGCGCCTCGGCCTTGCGGTGCCCCCCTCCAAGTGAGTCCAAGACGCGCATTGGATACGGATGTAAAGATTGCCCGCAGGCTGGCCCGCGCGCTCTCGCCAGGTCCGCGACGAAAAGAAACGCGTGTGTCGCCCGCAGGAGGCGCCTGCTGCTGTCTTCGAGGGAGGAGCAACCGCGAGAGCATAAACACGTTCCGGGATCTTCGCAGACGTCCTGGATCCGCGCTGGGCTCCCCTGGCAGCGCCTGCGTCGCGCTCCGCGCACCAAGGAGGCGACCCAGCGCCGATCCAGCAGAATGCGCGCGGAGCTGCGAGAGCTGTGTTTCTGCTGCAGTCGGGCCCCTGAGGAAGGGACCACTTTCGTTGGGAGGGGCTCAGTGTTCCTTGATCGTTGTACAGCTGTTTTCGGTGTTCCTTACATCTTCGATGTGAAATGTAAGTGTAACTTTGTGGCCAAAAGGGGCATCGTTCCTTATTTAGGGTTCCTTATGGCAGCGTTTCGACTGTACCAGTTTCTTCTCTGCCTGACTCACAGTTGGATCTGATTCAGCAGCTAGCCCAGCGACCCTGCAGGATCAGAGGTGCTGTGGCGTCCTGCCTATCGCGCTGTGTGTCCACCTTGCGTCTGCCGAGCATCTGGCGGCAACTCATGGGAGCCTCCCATGCCATCTTGTCGGCTCTTTCGAATCGACGCTTATCGACACTAAAGCCACGCTAAAGCGACGCTGATCGACGCCAGCCGACGCTACATCGGCGCTACATCGGCGCTACATCGACCCTAGTCGATGTTAAAGACGGAATTCAGAGGGTATACCAGGCTCCCATGGTCTTTGCGACCCAAAGCACAGGTTGCCCTCGGAGGCGAGGGGCTCGTGGCCTCTCGGGTGCCCTCGAAAGTCCGTCCTGGACGTGCGGCATAGACCTGCCCGGCTTCGGCCAGGAGGGCGTCTGCACACCACAGCAGGGCCCAGGGTGCCCGCGGCCAAACATGTTGGCGGCGTACATGGTGAAGTCGGGCATGTCCTCCCACAGGAGGAAAATTCAAGTCTGGGGACAATTGTGCGTGCTCATTTGATATTTTTGTTAGCATGTTTGGATCATGCTCTATGGTTCTTCCAAAATCCGCCTGCAGGGGGACATGCCCGACCTAAGTACAGGGGCCCTCTGCGTGCTGCGTCGTCTTCCGCGCAAGCACCGGTTTCTGGAGTCGCCTCCATCGAAAAGGAATAATCGCCATACAGTCGGCCCGTATTAGTAGGTCGACCTTGCCAAATCAAGGATACTTCTGTGTCCTGTGTCTCACGACCCATGCTTCCTACATTCCTGTGGCAATGTGACCCTCGGAAGTGTTTTGTGTCCTCTCGCGTGTCCTGTCCAATCAAGTCCGACTGTAAACAGAAGCTTTTGGCGCTCCGCGCGGTTCTCTTGGACCCGCGCTGGGCCCCCCCGGCGGCGCCTCTGGGAAGAGGGGCCGGCGCAGATCCGAGCAATCCGCGCGGAGCGTCAAAAGTGTATGTGTATGTGTTTTTGTTCGCTCCTCTGCGCCAGCTCCCCGAAGGCCACGGCGCCACCACAAGAAGACACCTTCGCGGCCCTTGTTTTTCCACAGCGGTTCGGCACGACAAGTTGTCAGGAGGGAAAGAAACACACAGACACAATTAATCGGCGATTCCCGAGGAAAATATGGGAAAATATGGGAAGTGGGGGGGAAGACAAAAACCAAGAACAGATAGGAAAATATGGGGAATCTTTTTATTTGCGTGTGTTCATTCGTGTGTCCCAGGGCCCCTTCACACAAGGACAGATCGCTCCAGGACGCTCAGCGCTTCCTGGCACGCTCTGTGAAGGCCGCGGCGCCTGATGCGTCCTCCAGAACCGCTGGATTTCAGAGATCCCCGACCTGTCCCTGTCCGAGGTTGTTCCTTTTCCTGGCTCCGTCTTGCGGAGGCCCCGCGTGGACAACAGCATCGGGACGTCGGAGAAGAGGGCCTCCTCCTCCTCCTCCTCCTCCTCCTCCTCCTCCTCCTCCTCCTCCTCCTCGGATCGAAGAAGAAGCAGCCGCATGCACACAGACTTGGGGGCGCTCCGCGTGGATTCCTTGTGGATCGGCGCTGGGCCCCCCTCTCTGGCGCGTGGACCGCGCCAGGAGCGGCGCCATATGTTTTTTTTCGAGTCGTGTTCTGCAGCTTTTGCAGGAACAAAGCGCTGGGCAAGGGGGGCCTCGGTCCTTCAGGGGGGGGAAAAACACACAGACGCAATGAGTCGTCCGATTCCCCCGAGAATATGGGAAACTATGGGAAGGGGGGGGGGGGGAGACAAAACCCAGAAAATATTGGAAAACATTGGGAATCCTGCTGTTTGTGTATTTACTCGTGTGTCCCAGGGCCCGCGCCAGGAGCGGCGCCGGATGTTTTGTTCGATTCGTTTTCTGCAGCGGCCTCGATCCTTCAGGAGGGAAGAAACCCACAGACACAATGAATCGTCGATTCCCCAGGAACTATGGGAAACTATGGCAAGTGGGGGGGAAGACACACATGCAGAACAGATGGGAAAAGAGGGGGATTCCTACTATTTGTGTGTGTATTTAGTTGTGTGCCCCAGGGCCCCTTCACGTGGTCTCGCTCCCCCTCGGCGTTCCCAGACCCCCTAAGCGTCTCCGCAGACCGCGCGGCGGGAGGCTCTCCGCTAGGGCCGGCCTCCGGGGGTCCTCGCCCGGCCGCGTGGCCGCATCAGAACGCGGCTGAGGATGAGAAGCTCCGGTCCTGGGGAAAGACGGGCCGGGCGAAAGGGGGGCATTGGGAACGGGGGGGGTACGACATTTGCTGCATGCAGCTGGTTTCGGCCTCACCGAGGGGCCCACTTCGAGAATGGTGGCTCTTATGCTAGTTGCACCCTATGTATAAGTATCGCAAGTAACATAGCTACTTACATGAGCTATTTATGGGTACTTACTAAGATACTTATAAGTAACTTAAGTTGATGTTCTTAAGTTACTTAAGCTAACACTATAAGATACTTATAAGTTACTTAGGGAAATGAAGCGATCGCGATCGCTTGGGAGGAGGAGGAGGAGGAGGAGAGCGATGTCGATCGCTGTGAGGGGGGGGAGGGGGGGAGGAGAGTGATGAGCGCGGCGGGGCGCGCGGCCTCCTCACCGCGCGCGGCCGCGTCCTCAGTGTACGCGCGGCCTCCTCACCGCGCAGGGGGCTCACCCTCAGGGGCCGCCTCGCCGCCCTGCCCGTCGCGGAAGGCGGCCAAGCAGATCGCCTCCGC